TAGAAAGGTGCTATACAAGATAAAGTCCATATACCATTTGTAATTGATCATAAAGCAGCTGAGCAGCGGCTGTAATCCATCCCGCCCCTTTGTCTCCACAGCTGGTTTTGGACTGACCCAGTACTAAAACAAATTGGATGGAAATGTCTATTATTCCGATTAATCAGCAAAGATCAAAATAGTTAAAAAACAGCTACGTATGCACTCAAACTTGATTCAAGGCAGAATAAAATGCAGGCAGCGCGTTGACCAGCAGACTAAAGATTGCAATTTGGATGTTTTTGACAAGTCATAAAAGCTGAAAAAAATAAAGTGACAGGCAGTGTCTCAATACCTCTTTTGCTAGCAGCTTATAGGGTTTTTTCAACCAAATTACAAGCTCCGTTTGCAGTGCTGACAAGATAGCTATTACACCTAGCCAGTGGACAGCACTCATAAGTTAAGTTAACCATAATTTGTTTGTTATTCTAAACTAGGAGCTGAAGACAACGGTCATCCAAACATGCAGTTACAGGGAAAGCTCAATATTTGGTGTGTAGAACCAGCGGCTTATTTTCCAAAGTACCGATTTGAATTTAATGTGGCTAATCAAACGTGAAAGTTAGGAAAAATGTCATCCCAACTCTGCTGGGTTCATGATTTCAAATACTTCACTCGAAAATTGTGATTTATTTTTCTTTTTTTCCCTTTTTACAATGATGTAAATTGACTCAATATGCTATTTTCACAGAACTTGCCGGTCTAAAGGACAAGTGACCATAGGTGATGGGAAAACATCCTGTTCAGCAAAGTGGTCCGGCTGAGAAGAAAGGCTTGTATTGTGTTCGATCTCTATTTTCATGTTTGTGTGCTTTGAAACTCTGCACAAAGAGTTGGATACCATTGGTTCAAACTAGTTTTCTGTCTGCACTCATCTGCATCAGAAAGTGAGGCTTTTCACTAGAAAAATACTGATCAAGCCCTATATTTTGGAAACATGTAATCCACTGAGGAAAGTCTGCCATTAGGCACAGTTCTCTGTGCCTTCACTCCCTGCCGTCTCTGCCTTTGTAGCAAAAGACGAGAGCAAAGCTTGTCTCCATTCAGCTGGGAGAACTGGTCAAAGATGGGAGATCAAGCAGCTCCCAGCTCTTTTTCCCCTGGCTCAGACTAAAGTTGTCTCGATAGTTTTGGAAGATGGTGTGGAAAAATTCTCCACGGTATAAGATCTCATGTTTTCTCTGCTCCTCTGCAGGTCTGACTGCATTTTAGAGGAAAAGTTTGAAATTTTGAAAATGGTAAGTCTTAAATTGGGTCGAAAATAGTGGCTCCTCACTGAGACAGGCTGCCATTTTTTTGCTTGTTTGTTTGTTTGTTTCTTTGCTACTTTTTCTCTTTGCACATGCTCTTGCACAAATCATCTGCCATACAGGTCCTGTGCGACTTGACTTCAAGAGCTCTTGGTGGCTGTCTTCATCAGCTCAAGATCTGCTGCAGAAAACAGCTTTAATTGGTTCTAAGAGGGAAGAAAAGCAGGAAGGGGTCACACACGGCAGCACATTGTAGAGAGAAAAGCTTAGGCATGATCAGGAATCGCATTCTATCCAGCTTCTTGGAATGGCATGTAATGCTTACACTGCCATCTTAGTCTGTTATTGACATGTTTTTGTTTGGATTAATAAGTAGGATAAATTTGAAATTTTCACATGTTCGACTTAGCAGCACAAAGGGTAAGCTGTTGAAACAACTTTGAGCTAACGTTTTCAGGGTTCCATGTTGGTGAATCAACCCGTCAGGTTAAAATAGCCCACTGTAATATTTTAAACTGTCCTGTCTTTATCCTTGAGCCTTGAATTTGCTTTACTCAGCATAGTGCTATGCAGAAACAGCGAATATCGAAACAGTGTTGTCTCCGTTCAGGAGAAGAAACCCTGTAGAGTGCAGCCAACATTATAGTCCGATCTATTCCAACAGGCAATTACACCATTTTACCAAGGCTACTAGGAAAGCTTTACTTCAATTAGGCTGACAGAAATGGTCTCTCTGACACATAAGAGGAAAGCCAGGATGTTTTCTCTTCCCTTTTTTTTCTCTTTGCACTGTCAGGGTTGTTCGCCACTTCTGTTGTTTCAGTGGGGCTCTGAGACATTAGCTTTTGTTGTTGCCTTAGCTTTGGAGACATTTCACAGCCCATTAGCTGCTCCTTCGGCCCCAACCTCTCAAAACCAATGAAAGAAAGAAAGGAAGGAAGGGGTGGGGAGACACTGATAAAATGACAGGGAGACGAAGTGTTTCAGTAGGTGCATCTGTGCAGTGGTTTTATTACATCAGAAAATATACTCTATAGTTGGAGGAATGATTCAACATTTTGGAAATCCGCTCTTGCCTTCTAGCCAAGAGTTAAATGAGTGGTAATAATGAAGTTACAGCCAGCAGGTGTTTAACCTGAAGCCTCGCATTAAGACCGGAAGCAGAGGGTAAAAGATATCATGGTTCTAAAGCGTTTGCAAAATTGCTTCAGAGCTAAGATATAAAAGTCCAAAGGCACAATGACATCCAGGTGCCATTCTTTGAGGCTAAAACACTCCAGATAACACATGTGAAAGATCAGCAAGTTTAACGGTCCTTGTACATCGATTTTATATTTTTGGGGAAAAAACCAGGAGATGGGTAAACCCACGTTTCCTATTTCTGAAAAAAGAAAGCTATTGGCTCCAGCTACACAGCTGGCAAACAGACATCAGAGTGGTAATGATCTTGAATCCCAGTGCACTGAATAAGTCATGTCAAAAGTCAAAAACAATTGCTTTAATTTGTTTTGGCATGCAGAGGTTGACGGATGATTATTTTTAATGTGATGAAAATTACTACAGGGAGATACTGCAATGTACTGTGAGTACTGCCTTTCTCAGTTTGAATATAAAAAGACATTCATTGGCACACCAGATGCTTAACTGTACTGTATTTAATCCATCTTGCCTTTGGCGAGAAAAAAAATAAGAAGAATGAAACCCTTTTTTTGTGCACTCAACCAGTAGAGATCCGAGTGGACAGCCAGTGGTCAGATTATTGTAGCTTAATAACAGTACATGCACAGGCTGGTTTATAGTTTGCCAATGTGCAATGCGGTCTGGTCAGGAGAGGGTTAAGCTGGTTTCCAGTGCAGTTGATGGGGTTGAACAATTTGCACGGCTGGCAGAAAAACCATAATCAATCCGGGGACCATAGATAAGGACCCTAAAACCAGCGAAGCACAGCGTTTTCTCTTATCGCAATTACACCTTGCCCTCTTGCCTCAGGTACAGCCAATTAAGCAAGGAGTGGATGCGCCGGCAGCCACTTCACATCGAGGAGGCCTATCAGCCGGCTGCAAACACACCCCATCACTGCAGAGGGGCAGAGAGGAGCTTGTTAAGCAGAGGAAGACACACTCAGTGAGCTCAGAAATGTACTGTCTTGCACTGCAAGGATATATACTGTACATTCATATGCTTCCCAAAACACCAACACAACATGCATGAAAAAAAGAAACTGAACGGCGTGAAAGAAGCTCTGGTGATTGATGAACAGTCTACCGGACAACTTCTTCATGGCTATGTTTCATAAAAAAGACCAAGGGCACAAAGACCTTGCACCAACACCTTCTCCTCTCACTCTCTCATCTGCATTTCATTCAATTTATTACTTCAGTCTTCTTTTTCACCTTTCATTGGGGAACGTCATTCACATTATTTGACTACTCAGCAACACAGAGACAGTTTGGAGGTGTGGGAGAAGGGAAAACTCATTAGGGTGTTTCAATGTGAGAGTTGGGGGGCTTTTAAGAAATGAAGAGATTAGGTCAGAATAAAAGGAAACTGTCAGGATGAATATAAATCTTTGTCTATTGTTAATTCTTATTTCCTTGTGTCTGTCCAGGCCCGACTCGAATTGTAAAAATGGCAATGAAAAATTGATCACTGAAGCCTCTCTGTGCTGCTTGTCAATGTTTCCTCCACCAGTGGATGGGGCTTAACCAGGCATAAGAAAATACACTCTGGGCGCTTGATCTGAACCACAACTTTACACTTCCCTGCCCTCCCCTTTCCTTGAGGTTTCAGAGACCAGACACACAGCGTGAAGTGTTTTGTCTACACCGTGTGATGCCACCACACCAATTTAGAGAGACAATTTCACCCCCAAAGCATCATCCTTCATAGAGGGGAGAGCAAGTTCAGCAAGATCAGTATTTGTCACAGTACCACACTGAAACTCTGATGGAATGGAGAAATGTGCAGTGGGAGCATCTATAAGCACACAAAGCAGCATTACACAAGAATATAGGATGACACAGGAGGTGCTCTCATGATGCTGGCAGGGCAAATCAAGTGTCTGGCCACACACACATACACGAACCAATGCCCAAAAAAAAAACGAAGACATGAAAAAGAATACTGTAGATTGGCTCTCTTTCAACTGGTGTGATAAAGTGATTAAAGTGCTCCTTCAAGCCAAGGAAGCCATTAATAACAGCACAACAGAGGGGAGTCAAATTGAAAATAAAATGAAAAGAGAGGCTGAGGGGGCGATTGCATTTACTCTCTATGTAGGACTTCACAGTCTTACAATAAAGCTGGGATGAAACAAAGTGAAAATGATACTCCTTATTGGCTCCTTATTGAATACTATTGGAGTCAAAAGGGGGTAAATTGACTAAGTAGGTCGATGCAAAAAGCATGCAGGGAAAATATGCTTAATTTAAATTCTGATTGGCCACATGGGTCTGTGGATGCTGCTTTCATAATTGCCTTCGCCTGATATTTTCCCCATCGTTTCAGCATTTGCTGTGACATGCAATGTGATGAACAAGAAAATAGCTTCCTGGTGATGCAAACAGTGTTTTAGACTGGACTCCCCCCACTGTCGCTAACATTTGAGAATGGTTCCTTCCACATCAACACAATCAGCCAATCCACTGTGGCTGGCAGAGTCCAGAGCACAGATGGCTCTAAATCAAGAGTGCATGTGGCTGCAGTACTCACCACGCTCGCTGGACAGGGTGGTATCTGTCACCAGGAGAGAAAGAGAAAAGGGAGAAAAGAGGAGGGAGAAGATGATTAGAACATCACAGGTTTCAGTAAAAGTGGCACCGCTGGACTGGAGTCACAGTTAAACATCGGGAACAAAACAGATCAATTTCTGAGGATTAATGGGAAGTCACAGCCTATAGTCGGACAGTAACATTTACAGAACATAGAGCTGCTACTGGAGAAAATTTGCTGTCACAACCGCGTAGATGCTCATATTTGTCTCTGTCTATTATCCAGGCAGCACCATTTAACCAGAATACTGTTTGTTTTCACTCTTTTACCTCTTGTCATTGCCTCCAGCAATGGGATTCATCATTATCTTCAAACACTTGTTGTGATATCTATATTGTTCTTGTGCTCAGTCGATAAAACACAGGAGAATTGGGGAATATTGCATATGCACACACTTGTGTACAGTTTTTGTGTGGGAGGTATTAATTCAGACCTTGGCACCACAGCCTGGTAAAAGAAAGAGGAGAGGCAGTGGAGGAGAGTTTGACATCTCTCTCCTGGTTGTCTGCCCTCCTCATGTCCTCCAGCATTGGGAGATCTGATTAGAAGCTATCTCGATTGCTTATTTTTAATTAAAATAATAATAATTAGGAGGCCTTGAAGCTGACTGAAACTTAGAAAAATACAAAGTCTGATCAAATGAACATGGTTCCTGAATACTGGGTCCCAGTATCCCAGTAGTGAGAATAAAGAAAATGAATGTAAGAGATAAGTAAAGGCTCTCTTGAGTTCCAAAGCTTCTCTCTCATCTGAGTAGTTTTGTTACCAGTCCAACACTTTTGTTGGACTAAAACTTTTGAAAAACTTCTGGATCGAATCCTTTTGGCTCTGTTTGACTACTCCTCTTGCAGGTTGACATTTGTCGCTTTGAAGAACGTTTCTTGACTTCTTTTGATCCGATTCCTGTGACATTTGGTCAATACACTGGTGTTCCTGCCAGGATGAACTGTAAAATGTTGGCAATCCTTTGCCTTTTTTAATAATTCATCTTTTTGTGTTTAATACTTTGGTTAACGATCCCTGAATAGCAAAACATGACTTACTCGTTAGCCTCAGCTTTAGTTTATATTTGGTCCTTGTTAGCAAATACTAGTTAACACATGAAACTCAGATAACAAACACGTAACCTGTTGAACCTCAGAATATTAGCAATGTCATTGTGAGTATGACAGCATGCTGACATCTGCATGTCACTCAGACTGTGCTGGCTATAGTAGAACAGATTACTGCTAGCATGGATGTGGAGCACTGAAAGATAGACCATATGTTGTACGGATCTGTTTAGTAGATTTGATGAAGAGGGTGATGTGCTGATTGCTGACACACTTCCACAAATGATAGCCGTGAATGAATTGGGAATATTTAACATATGGGACGTATGGGTAAGTACCTCATATCCCACATGTAATCACCACTTTACCACTGCCATGAATAGTAATGACAGTGTAATTCTCACATTTGGCAGCTTGTATTGACACAGACACATTGTCAACATGCCAAAAAAACTCTCACTGGCATTTATTTGAGGCCCAGACAATCAATACAGACACTATGGTAAACAACATTTTTCTTTTCACTTGCAAAAATTAGATTCAAGACTCTTTTTTTTAGATCTATATAAGCGATAAATAATGTATCTTTTAAAACGGGCTGTACTGAGCACCACTGTCTGAAGCAATTTACTAGAAGCGTAAGCTCGGTCTGCTGTTGCATTTACCCAAGGCAGATATCGATACACTGTCTGATAAATTATTCTAAACCAAAGAAAATGCATACCACATTTGAGGATACTTCAACTGAATTGATTAAGAAACACGTAATGATCTTTACCATTTTATTTTATTTAAAATGTTTATTCATTTACTCAATTTTATCAGCTTGATGCAACGTTGTAGGACAGCTCTTGTCTTTTTGTGTTGTAGTTGTTGATATAAAAATGCATAAATTCCAGTGAGTAGTGTTTTTTTCCCCCCCCACTCATGTCATAACATAATTCAGATTTATCCTAAAATCTCTGCAACTTTCTGACTTGTTTACAAAAAGCAAACACATTACTATCTAAATAAGAGTTTTGCTCCAAGACTGTCTCCATTCCTCCTCTCCATGTATAAAGGCACCCTACTCTATCCCAACAGAACTTCCCTCTGCACATGTTCAATTATTCATCTCCCTCTGTCAAGAATTCAGTCTTGCTAGCACTTGCCAGTATCCCCCACAAATTGGCAGCCAGGCTCATATTTGGCATATGGCGCAGAGCAGTGCTGCTTTTTCTTCTCTCTTCACTTGCCCTGCTAGCCCTCCCAAGGTTACTCACTAACACAAACACACGTACAGCCACAATGCACATGCACACGCCAAATGATGCAACTTGTCTGTCAGTTTGTATGTGAGACACCCCCCCATTGAGTAGCTGGGCATCCGTCCACAGCCTCTCTGCAACAGGTTTCAGTGTTTTCAACACTGCACATAGCTTAACAGCCAAATTAGACCGCAGCCCAGAACCCACATTACTGATGCATGATTTGTCGTCTCAGAAAATATTTGGAGCTAACGTGAACATCCGAGCCTCTTTAGTGAGCCAAATAAATGATGTATTTAATTTATGGCCCATTAACATTTATGTGCACCACAAACGTTTAGGGATTTTAATGAATAATCCACTTTTAGTGTCATTGATATAGAGAACTTTGGAAATGTGATCTTAACAGCTCCTGTGAGGAGTTGTCATCTGTTCATGAAACAAACTAGAAATAATATTGAAGCCTCTTTATGAGCTATTATAACTAGTTTGATATAGTTATTTTTATGCTTGAAACCGCTGCCCTGGGGGAATGCGTCAGGCAAGTGGATTGACAACAAGCAGTGGAAAGCTACCTATAGCTGCTTCAACACAGTCTAAAAGGTCAATTTTAACATAAATTATATCCTCTTGCAATGTGGCCAATCATATTTCTAGCTCTTTCCAGCTCTTTCCCGAGAGCTGCCAGCCAAGGCTTTCATACAGTTGTTCCAACATCAATTGATGTACGAACCGGTAAAGAATGCACCAACTGAGCACTCGCTAGAATGCTATTGTACTTAAGACAAAGTATGCCACATATTTTGAACGTCTTTTTGCAAATCTCTCTCAAGTTAGGTATTAAAGAAACCCTAGATACATTTAAAATCATTTTCTTTCTCAATAAAAAAGAACGTTAAAGCACTGAAGCAGGTATGTGGCCTATGACTGTGACAATCTTGTGCCGCTTCTATTGCTTTTCTCCCCAGTGAATAAATTAAAAAATGTGAGAAGCATTCCGCATTCCTGCATGCACCACAGTATTCGTTTATATATATATCCCAAATTTGACCTGGTTTCTTAAAAAGCCAACTACTGTTTTACAAAGACTCATAGCAAAATGAGTGGTTGTGTGGAGTCACCCACATCCCAGAGAGGCAGAAGGTCACAGCCACTCATTTCTGCATTGCTGCCACAGAGACAATATTTTGAGCTCCCACAATGCTTCTAAATACATCTGCATTGTCTGTTCAAACCTTCTTCTGATCTTGGCAAGAGAACTTTACTGTCATCTGCAGTATTTATGTGTTTGTAACTGGTATTTCCACTATCAGGTAACTCAAAACCTTTAAAATAACTCCTGACAGAGAGCGTTGGTATGGATGATGAGTCTGAGGGAGCAGGATATTACACCCAAAAGTTGAGGGCCAGGAAATAAATAAAAAAATGATTTAATAATTTGCTCTGTTTGAACAACAATGCAGAAGTGTTTCTTCACGGCTGTCTAAACAGCTTCAACATGCATCCGCTCATCACCCTCACTGCTTTGTTAATTATAAACGATGAACTTGTTATAGGCCACGTCTTTGTGATTTTTGGTGTGAAGTTTGCAGTCTGTCAAAGTTTAAAATAATCTAAAAATGCTGTTAACACTCTAAGAAAGTCTTATCCTGGAAGGTTGAGGAGTTTAATGAGATGTGGACTCCCTTTGTGAATTTTATGAACAGAATAGGAGCCTGTGATCAGGCAAGGGCACATGATACTGCTGCCCTTTAAGATGATTGATAACTTGTGAACAGCTAGAGTAACAAGGTTTAAATAATGAGAGTGAATGGTTGATGACCCAATGTAATACTTTAAACATGTATATTTTGAGTTTACATTATTGTTTGTTTTTGTTTTTTTAAATCACTGTATATAAATATTTATTTTATTTAACTCATTTTATTTTTCTGAATATTCTGGATATATAATTAGTTTTTTGTTTTTGTTTTTAGTGTCAATTGCGATTTTGCATTTTTACTTATTTTCTGTATATGTGTTTATTTTTTCCTTTTGCAGAGGATGATGTTTTATTGGGAGGCTTTTTATGATTATGGATGTTTGTGTCTGTTCATTAAAATGAACAAAACGTCAATAAATATATCTTTGGGAAAAAAAAGTCTCCTTATCATTTCAATTAAATGTGGAAAACATGAATTGGTGCAGCAGGAAGTATGCCGTCATCATAGAGAATGACTTCTCTCCCTCACTTTGATGCTATGACTGACTTCCAGCACTCCTGTATAATATCAAATTAAAATAGAAAAAGGCTTCAACAACTTCTGCTCTCATAGTCTTTAAACAGTTTTGTTTCAAAGACATACTAAATCAGCTCCAATCTTGGGTATGTTAAATAACACACACACACACCAGCCACCTGCGATGTGCATGTGTTGGGATTAATGGGAGCTCTATGTTTGCATGCAGATGGGTTGCCAAATCTTCTTGTTGCCACTGTGATGACTCATTACCAAAGAGCATTTTCAGCTAATAAATAATACATTTAAGAGTCTAATCAAATTGAACAAATGAGTATGTCTAGAAATCTATTAATCAGAGAGCAAACATGTATTTACAAATATAACACTGGCACAAACAATCAATTATTCATAAAGTGAATGCTGGGTAAGTGGGCTTCTTCCCG